CTCTTCTTCCCCCCACCATCCTCGTCTCCTTGTCTCCCTCCCTCCCTCCCTCTACTTCCCCCCACCATCCTCGTCTCCTTGTCTCCCTTCCTCCCTCCATCTCCTCTTCCCCATCCCCGTCGCACTCGCTCGCTCGCCCGGGGACCATAACATGCCCGATGCCTGCAAGCGTCTCGGGACCCCTACCCCCTCTCCCCTCCCTGTCTACCCACCTCGTCTATACCACCCACCCGTTCTTCTCTATTTGACTACCCCTGGTATTCCCATCTCTTCGGCTACCTGAGTGGTCCCCACGTGGAAAAGCGATTAGCTAATTCTCAATCCCCTCGAAGCACATCGTCAAGAACCCCCACTTTCGTCAAGAAACTTCCCTAATTCAGGGGTGGGGTACTCCTTTGACAGTTATGATGAGTAACGTATTCCGTAACGTTCAGCAACGAGGGCGCCATGCTTGAGAGGGACAGCGCTGGTAAGAATTGCGGGAGGAGGTGGGGAAGGGAAGGAGGAGAGGAGGAGAGAAGGAGAGGAGGATCATTGCATATACTTGTGGATGTACGGGATGTTGTGGTGGAGCATTCCGGTGAAGATGATAAGAGCGAATCTGAGCTAGAAGGTACTCGAGACGCAATGAGCGCGAGGAAGTCGAGTGGCAGGCGAAGTAAGGAGAGCTGGAAATGTTTATGAGGTGATAGGTGGAGTTTCTGATGATGGTGGTTCGATCTGGCCTGGTTCAAAGCCCAGAGGAGTGTTGATATGACATGCTGCCTCCAAGAAGGCACCAAGGGACAGTGAACTGTGCGAGCTCAGAGTGCATGCGACATCATGCATACAGACAGGGTTTTCGTGCGAGCTGAACATCTCACGCCTCCATGTACAGGCCCTCACGACGACTACTCCAACTGGAAGAAGCGTCCCCACGACGATGACGACTACAGCCCTTACGATGATCATGGATACCACGGAGTCGCAGCGAAGCGGGCGCATGTGGACGGGGACAGGCCCTATGCGATCAAGGTGCTGCATGTCTTGTGTGTGCTCAAGGTTGTGATGATTGAGCCAGTTCCTCGCGAGCAATAAGGATGCAGGAACTCTGATCGGCAGGGGCGGGAATACCATCTCTTCTCTCCAGCAGAGGACGGGAGCGAGGATCAGAGTCTCAAACGGGAACGAGTACTATCCAGGCACACAGAATCGCATTGTTCTCTTGACAGGTCAACTATCAAACATCATGGGGGCACTGGAAGGCTCTCTGCGTGAAATTTATGGCGATTTCAGCGGTCACTCGGCTCCTTCCCCTCCTGGGGATGACAGGGACAGCAACGGCATCATGTTGACACTCGCTGTCCCTGAAATCTCTTGTGGGCTGTTAATAGGACGTGGCGGGGAGAACATTAGGGTGATGGTGGAGGAGAGCGGCTGCAAGATACAGCTTACAAACAAGGACCACTTAGTTCCAGGGATCACGGAGAGGCTTGTCCTGGTGGTGGGGCAAATAGATCGAGTGCTCAAGGCAGTGGAATTGATTTTGTACAAGATGTGGGAGGATCCAAAGTGCAGGTATGACAATCCCACGACCCAGTACAACTCGAAGCCGCTGGCCAGCGACCTGACCAAGGCTGTGCGAAACCTTCAAGGGTCCTCCATGCAGCCGGAGCGATCGTCGTATGGCAACTCAAGTAGCTGGGACTCGTACGGGAGGGACTCGTACAGCAGAGATTCTTATAGCAGGGACTCTTACAACCCATCGTACTCCCCGAGGGAATCGGATCCTCCCGTCGATAGGTACTCCAACTCTCAGTACGACATCTACAGCAACGCGTACGTTCCATCGGGAGGAGGAGGAGGAGGAGGAGGAGGAGGAGGAGGAGGAGGAGGAGGAGGAGGAGGAGGAGGAGGAGGATCAGGTATGGAGGACATTCCTTCACTGAGGGTCAAGCTGACCATGCTGGTATAGGATCTAGCGGAAGGTCTTCATCGACTGTCACGTAATATACTGATGCTGTTAGGATGTGTGCAATACTCACGTTATCTTGTCTCTGCAGATATACGGTACATGTGCCGGACAACCTGGTCCCGGCTATCCTTGGACGGGGAGGACAGATCATCAAGGAGATGATGGAAGTGAGCGGGGCAACGATCAAAGTGAGCCAGAAAGGAGATTTTGTCCCAGGAACGAATAACAGGATCATATCTATCATAGGTGAATTAACTCCATGCCTCTGCACTAATGGAGCACGTTGCTGAGCGTGTGCCTTGGCAGGGGACCAGAACGCTGCATCTTACGCCCATCAGCTGGTCAGTGCAAGAATCCCGCAGTTCTAGTGACAGAGAGGTATGAAATGTTGAGCAAGGGTGAAGCTGGTGAGGTCTTGGAGACAAGATTTTGCCTTCGTCCCTCCTCGTCCAGCTCTTCTCCAGGAGATGGTTGAGTAAAAGCTGACTAATTGATAATCCCTTGCGGTGGACGCGCCCACGGCCGGTCGAGAGAGACAAAAGGCCGAGGACCTTGTATGGCGTCAAGACACTCAAATGATCGTCAGTGAGACCTTTGGACGCAGACATGAGCATGTAAGCGAGGCCTGAGGAGACGGTGAGATCGCGTGAGGGGGGGGGAGAGGGACGGGGAGGAGCAGAGGAGCAGAGAAGAGGGAAGGGGAGGAGCAGAGGAGCAGACAAGAGGGAAGGGGAGGAGCAGAGGAGCAGAGAGGAGGGAAGGGGAGAGCGGGGAGGGCAAAAGAGGAGACATGGGACATTGGATGGCAACTTACGAGAGATAGCAGAATCCAATCGTCCGATGAAGTAGTCGCACTGCAACTCACTCATTCTTGCTGCTCACATGATCTCTGGCGCACCTGAGACAAGGTGTCGATCTCTGCAATGGCGTGTAGGGCGGTAGCGCTGCCGTCAAGCTCTCCCCGCTCGATCCCTGCGCATGCGTCAGCGGAGGATTGTGCAGAGTTTGTCTCGCACTTCTTTCCACCCACATGTCATACTGAGACTCGGCAGGATTGTGTTCAGGAGCCTGAGAAAGTGTCACCTAGCAACTAGACCCGCATCGAACTTGACCTGCGATGCTCCGACGTCGTAAATTTTCCTGTCAATCTGCGACAAACATTGCTCATGCTCAAGTCAGTGTCAGGCAGGCAGGAGAACCGGCAGAGAGAAGCATTCAAAGTCTTGTAACGCATGGCACTTTTCCACCGTTTCGACATCATCAGTAGCAAGGAAGATGTTGGACACCTGGAAAACACATTTGAAACGAGCAATCAACAAGATTTGCTTCTACCCCATACAACTCTTTCATCGCTCTCGCTTCCCTCAGGAAGTTCTCGAAATGCGGCATCCATCTGCAATGAAATGGTCACCAGGAGATTCTCACAGGCAAGCTCGCCTTGCTGCCATGAAGGAGTCGCCTCGCCGAACATGTATGCCGATGATCGGATGTTTCATGTTCATTCCCGACCTGTCCGATCCTGTGATATGATTCCTCGTATGAGATCGGCTACCTTAGAGACTCTATGTACTGCCCTGTTCCAGAAAGTAGGGAAATGAGGGATGTTCAGTGTAAAGCTCAGCAACGGAGAACAGGTACTGGTGCGGTCGTTGAAACGCCAGATGAAACTTAGAGCATGCGACTGAGAAACAACGTCTATGAAATCATGAACCTGATGCAAGAGACGTCACCTGGAGCCAGAATGATCCCTTGTGAGCGTATTTCGGTGTCGAGAAGTCATGCATAATTCCATCAACACCTGACCACGTGCCTTCACGCTCAGCCGCGAGCATTGCAGGCTTGTTCTGAACGAGGACGATGGTCAAAAATCGAAAGTCTGCGCGTTCATGGAGCTCACATCGTCGTCAACAACTCTGAAGGAGACGTTTGTGACTCTGAGAAAGTAGCAGGACAAGCTCCTGTCATCTCCACAGAACTTGGAGGAAGTCCAAGTCGCCATGCTCCCGTTAGGTGCAGTGAAGATTCCTCCTGCACTCATTTCAGCATCAAGACTGACTTTTTCTCTTCAACAACAAGACAGGACCTGTCGCAAAGGCTTTCGCAAGATTGTGAGCTGCATACACCATCTAACTACTCGTCATGGTCGACATGAGCAACTCACGAGCAAGTGTACTCACGGTCACTCCGAAGCCTGACATCGGGGAAGCAGACGGTCGTACGTCCCACGGATCAGCATGCTGGGGGAATTGAGACTCAAACATGTCCTTGTAGACCTCAGCGGATTCCTCCTGCACTTTAGCTACACTCTGAGCCAGGACTTGCTCGTCAGGAAGGTATCTTGTATCTGTACAGAGATCTGTACACTGAATTTTGCCCTTGCCCTCCTCTCTCGTGGAATAATGCCATACTCCACAGACCGAGGACGCATGGCACCCATCGACGCTCTCGACCTCCGACGGTGAAATTATGTGTCTGCACAGGAAGGTCAACCCGCCGCTTCTTCAGCACCCTGGACTACCTTGCTACATAATCCTGATACTCCAAGAGCTCGATCTGTGTCAACGGCACTGAAGTGCTCGTATCAACGTGAGAGAGGCTGTTGGCTGAGGCCTGTCGTCGACCGTCTAGAATCTCTAAGAGGTCAACGTCAACGTCAGAGTGCTTCACTATGAAGGCGCTTTCTCCGACGACCGGCCCGCAAGTTTCCTCTGCGCCACTGCACAGTGTGACGGTGATCTTGTGATGGCCGGCAGCGACATTCTCAATCGGAACGTCACACGGATAATCTTCACACAAGTGCAAACGAGCTCCGTCGAGATGGACTTGGACCCTTGTCTCTTGACTCCAGTGCATGTACCGGCGAATGGACGCTGTAAGATTCAACGCTGACGCATCCTGAGGTCGGATCACGAGCACGTCCCGAGATGCTTCAAAGAATGCATTCTTGGACAGGATGAGAACCTTGGCCTCGGAGTGCCCAGAGGGCGAGACTGGGTTCAGAACTTGAAGGAATATGCCGACTGCGAGGTAAACGAACACGGAGGGTCTACGCTGCATCATGGAGGAAGAAGAGAGCTTCCACTAGACAAGAGCTCCTCAGCAACCTCCCTTACCTGCTTCTGTCCTCGCCTCCTCTTCACGCATGTTTCCCCCTTCCCCCCTCCCTCTCCCTCTTGCTCCTAGAGTATTTGCCATGACGCAGCCATCTCAAGTTTGTGGTATCGCCTTGACCGTTTTAAACCGTTTCATGTACTCCGTGTCAAACATTCGGAACCAGGCAAGCACTTCATTGCTTTCTTTGCTCAGTAATACACTACTCTTTCAGTAAACAACACATCAGCAACCGCTTTCAGTACAGTTATCCTCTTCACAGATCCCGCACATTGAACGAGCTGTCGTCCATCTTATCTAGAGCTATCCTAACTGGCTCCAACCCTGGCTCGTTGAGAATACTCGCAAGCATGTGACTTGGATTTGATTTCTCCTTCTCCCCTGACGCTGTCTCCTTCACCAGCTCTCCACTGAGTACAAACTTGAGAAGGGAAGGCGAGAAACCAGCTAGCAGGGTCACTCCGGGCGTGTCTGACTTCACTGGAAATCCGTCTGAGGATGAATTGACATTCCAGAAGATGATGTGGGGCGGCTCTATCGGCCGGCCATACAGGCGCATTCCCTCCTGCCTGAAGAGCTGCTTCATGTTGTCGTGAGCTGTCTTGGGGTCCTGTCCCGCCGCTTCATCGAACTGCATGTCTGAGATGATGAGCAAGTTGGGGATCTCGTCGGGCTGGAGACCCTTGCTGCGGACCAGCTCCAGGATGAGTTTCATGGCCTTGTACACATCCGTGTTGCCACCCCAGTCTGCTCGCATCAGTGACTTCACTTTGTCGACTATGTTGGTGCAGCCTTGCAGCTTGTGCCATGAAGGCCTCTCAGAGAAGGTCAGGACGAGGTCCCTATACGCTGGGTGGGATACTTCGGAGCAGAGGATTCCAAGGGCGATAGAGACGAACATCGGGGTGCCGCTCATGGATCCAGACACGTCTGACATTGCGATCGTTTTCCCGAGATCCACAGGTCGTTTAGAATCCGATTCCAATGCCTTTGCCTCGAGCACATCTTGGACGATGGAGAGCAGCTCGGATTTCTGTTCGGTGCTTTCATTCCCTGCCTTGACTGCAAGATGGTCGTCAAGGTCTTGGGACATCGCTGAGAGCTCTGCTTTCCTGTTTGAGATCATCTCCTCGACATTTTCCCGCACTTTTTCCCATAGAACCCCACAGATTTCTCGGACAGCCCCTGAGCAACGCTTCATGCCAAGGATCTTCTGTACAATCTCGTGAGGGAAAAGCTGCTTCCCATTCAGGGTCTTCTCGCGTGTCGCCTCAAGAAACGTTTCACGGCACTTCATCCGACTCTCTTCCGAGGAACGCATTTCTTCACCTTTGACCTCCTCATTGAGGAAAGCTTTCATGTACCTCTGCACCGCCAGGGAAGGGACAGTGTTGAATTGTATGGTATCCCACTGGTTCGAGCTCATCTTCACCTCGGGGACATCCAAGGCTCTCCTCAGCTCGGACAACATCCTGCGGTATTTGCTCTTGACGTACCGGCCGGCTCTGACGGGATCTTTTGTCGATGTCAGGACATCACCATAGAGCTTCTGACAGATGCTTCGGGTCGCTCCGAGCTCGCGTCCAAACGCATGACCCTCGGAGGGTGCGAACTTTGCGCACAGAGAGAGTTTGGGTACCAGCCCTTGCTCTTGAGCTTCCGTTAGCTCTCTGTAATCGGTTTTGAGCTGATCAGCAAACAAAGTCCAGACTCTGTCTGCGATAACATCATAGTCATCCTGCTGCATACCTGCACCTTTGCAATTTTGCAACAGGAGCAACAGGTCCTTCCAATATCCAAAGCTGGGAACAATGACGAGAAGCTCGAGCACCACTGAGGGGAAATATTTGTACAGAACTCGCATCATGATCAAGAAAAGTTTGCGCTCTCCCTTTCCTCCCCTGCACCAACGAGTCTGGAACGCCAGCACGAAAAGCGATTTGACGGTTTGGACGTCGCCGTGCTGTTGAGCCTCCACTAGCACGTCACGTACTGAGTCTTTGATCTGCTCCTCTTGCAAGCCTCGCACGAGCTTGGAGAGGAGCGCGAGGAGAGGTTCACCAAACGAAGCGGGGTCTAGTTCCCAATGACCATTGCACCCCTTGGTGTAGGCCACGGTGGAAGCCATGATCAGGAGGGCGGAGGACGGGCGGCTAGGTGAAGGGACGGAGGGCAAGCTCGAGAGAGAGGAGGGGAGAGGAGGGCGGGGGGATGGGAGGTCGAGAAGGAGGAGGTGTGAGGGAGGGAGGACGAGCAGGAGGAGGAGCCTCGGAGGAGAGCGGTAAGGTTTTATAGTCATTTACTCAAAGTTAAGTTAAAATTAGTACGAGTCGGTTGGATTTTTCCTTGTTTGTGGTCGACAGCCTGTTGCAGTGGTAGGATTGCGATGCGACCCCCCGGACGGGCACCGGGGCCGGGCCGGGGAGTCTCCGAGTCGGATCCGGAGTCCCGGGCCGGCAGCCGGCCCGGACTCCGAGGGTTCAGGCGGGCCCGGGGCCAGCGCCGACCGTGTCCTGCACTGAGTCACGGCGGGTACCTGAATTTAAAATTTTATAGTTGAATTCACGTCATTTTTCTTTTCAAATCTAGTAACGAGATTTCAATTCTAACACCGGATATAGAAAAACTGAGCCTTCCATGACAGCCAGGGGAAGCAGCAGGACGGAGGCGACGCGAGCGATGGCGAAGGAGTGAATATGAAGCATGCAGGTGGATGATAACAAGAGATGAATGCCGTTCAAGGCCATCGGAGTCCTCCAAGGTTGGTAGCAGCCCTCGTTCTCGGATGCTAGGAGGAGGTGGGCCACGTTGAAGAAGCGATGCTAAGCTCTTCATTCGATGCCGGCCATACGCCCATGAGGCGCGCAGATTTCGGTGACTATGACGATGATGATAACAGACGTAGGGACAAGCTCAGAGAGCAGGAGAGCGGTGTCCTCTTCGCTGGGATGGAGGGAGACATGGTGCAAGATGATCGCAAGGCTGAGTCGAGGTGGGCCCGAGAGAAGAAGAGGATGGAGGCGGATTTGAGGAGGAAAGAGGCGGAGATCTCTCATCTAGAGCGGAGATTAAAGATGTCCAAGGAGAACATGCGGACGGTCTTGTCTGAGAACGAAAGCAGCCAGGACACGATGAAGGTTGAAATCAACGAGCTAAAGCAAATGTTAGCCAGAAAAGACGGAGAGATTCTTGCTCTGCAGCACAAGTCAACAATAGCCCATCCAAGGCATCATGATCATCATCCAGGCTCGCACCACGAGGATTCAAGAAACTCTGACGCCAGCGATGCTGCGAGAATTATGAAGGAGCTGCGGGAGGCTGCGGATCAGTTTTCCAAGGGAGCTGTCGGTTCAGACGCAGACGTGAAAGAGATCTTGCTGAAAGTCCTTCAAGACTCAGCGCAGAACAGGAAAGAGATTGAAAGACTGCAAGAGGAGAAACGTGAGCTTGAGGTGAAGGTTCATATTTTACGTGGTCCCCGGTGACCTCGTATTTGACAGGCTGCCGTTGAAGAGATGAGGACGGTTTGCATCGACAAGATTGTCTCAAGGGCGGTAGAGGATGAAGAGCGTTCAAGTCAGAAGGAGAGACAGGATGCGGTTGCCTCGAACGAGAGTGAGAATGAGATCAGAGTTCAAGAGCTGCGCACGAGGGTTAAAGAGTTGAACGAGGAGATTCATGAGCGCGACCGTCAGATCTCAGAGGCGATGAGGAGAGTGGAAGAGGAGAAAGCAAGAGCAGACAAAGCAGGGCAGAAGATCGTCAAGAAGATGACTGCTCAGACGGAAGAGCACCTGCGGACCATCGCAGCGCAGGCCCGTCAGATCAATCAGATCGAATCCAACCTGAGGAAGGCCATTGAGAAGTACGAAGAAGCCAAGGAGCTTCAAACCTCGTGGTCTACCTCTGCAGAGTTGTGCACAAGAGATTTCGAAGCTCAAATGGCAAGGTTGGAAAAGACTCTCGATGATTCACACAAGTTCTCGTTGGAGCTTCTTGCCACTGTGGATCAACTGAACGCGCAGAATCGACAATTGGAGAACGCCTTGATGCAGGAAAGAAATGACGGCAAGCAGGCGGACGATGTTCTCGAAGTTCTGATCTCTCAGCTTGCTGACTTGGAGTCGGACTTGTCATGCTTTCGGTCCTGCTGGAGTGGAGATTTTCCATCAAGCGAGGGGGGGGACACTCAAAACCTCCTCCCCAACTTTGATGAGCTCAAGACGCGTCAAGGAATCGAGTTGTTTGAGAGCCTGAAAATCTTCTCTGGGACATTTGAGTTAGGGGGAACTTTGACGCGGGATGGTCAGTACGTCTCAACGCTCGAGGACAAGCTTCAAAAGGCGTACGAGAAGATTCATTGCCTCGAAGAGGAAGTGAGTTCTTAATCCTACCCAGCTGTTGTCAGGAGATCTTACTTGCGATGTGTTCCCCTTCAGGTGAAAGAGCTCAACGAGGACTGTCAGAAGATGCATGATTCATGGCAGAAGGAGTGTGAGGAGAGGATCAAACAAGTCGAAAACCTCACTGCCAAGAATGCTCGACAAGCGGACACTCTGTCACACCTCACTTCTGAGATCGCCATCCTGAAGGCTTCTTGTGCCTGCCCACCTTCTCCCGGAAGGTGTCGCATCCTCCCTCCACCTCTCCCCCTCTCCCTCCCCCACCTCAATCCCACCTATCTTCCTGTGTCTCTCTCCCCTCCTCTCCGTGCCTCTTCCTCTTCCTCTACCTTTACCTCTTCCTCTTCCTCTGCTTCTACCCCTCTAGCAAGTGTCTGACGTCATCGAGCAGCTTGAATGGATCGCTTGCCGTCCCCTCGTCGCCAGGGAAGCCTCAGACGCAGTACTCGAAGCGAGAGGAGGGAAACGCCATCGACGTGTCTCACGACGCAGACACCACCGAGGAGGATCTGTCGGAGGCCTGGAGCGTGTTGAGCTCCACGGGCGGGGCTCAGCGCTCGCAGGATTGGGAGCAGACCAACCCCGAGCAGCTGCAGGTGAACAAACTCAGGCAGGCGATCGACATGCTGCAGCGGCGCGTGCGCGACCAGGAGGCGAAGGCGAACAAGTTCCAGACTGAGAGCCAGCTGGAGCGATCGCGATCTGTGGCACAGAGAGCAGACATGCAGCGGCAGGTGATGCAGCAAGTGGACGAGCTGTCGCGGCAGCACAAGGTGGTTTCAGACCTCACCCAGGCTCTAGAGCAAATGCACCTCGAGCTGAAGGCCTCAAGGGAGCGAGAAGCGGAACTGACCACGAGGGTACAGCAGATGGAAGAGGAGGAGAAGCAGATCCACCGCGCGAGCAAGCAGAGCTGGACGAGCGAGGGATGCGAGTTCGAGAATTCGCACCTGAGGGCAGAGGTGGAAGACCTTCGGCTGTGCCTTCAAGCAGCTAAGGACAACACGTCACTAGTGAGGGAGGGGATGGCTCTGAAGCTTCTGCGGGTAAAGTGCTTCCTTGCCTCCCTTCCTCTCCTTCCATTCTTGATGATGCTTCCATCGCTCTGATCCCTCACCTCCTTCCCTACTCATCTTCCTCCCCCAACTTCTTCCTCTCCCTCTCCTTTTCTCTTTCCCTCTCTCTCTCGCTCCCTTCTCCTCTTCCTCTTTGCTGCTCTCTTCTCCTCTCTTCTCCTCTCTTCTCCTCTCTCTTGTGCTCCTGCCCGATGACGCTGCCCATCGTTGTGCAGGTGGAGAGCAAGTTGAGAGACAAGGAGATCGAGTGCTTCCGGCTGCGGGAGCTCCTAGGCCTCTCCTCTTCCTCCTCGCCCGACCCACTGGAGGGAAGCGAGTCCCTGCGGGCCAAGTCAACCACAGACTTCCACGTGAACCCAGCCCAGGTGCTGCGAGAGTTTCTCTCCTCCCCTCGGGCTCCAGCAAGGAGCCAGAGGGAGCAGGAGAAGGAGGAAGGGAAGAGTGGAGGGCAGGACGGGGAGAGGGTTAAGGATCTAGAGGAAGAGCTTCAGAGGAAGGAGGAGGCGGCTAGAGAGTTGGTCAAGAGCCTCAAGGAGGAGCATGACCTGGTCAAACGGGAGCTACAAGGAAGGATCAATGAGCTGGAGGTGGGTTTCTTTCCGTCGAGCAGCCTGAAGGTGGACATGGGGTGAACGTTTGCGCAGGAGGAGCTGAAGCAGAAGACTGTGTTTGTGGAATCGCCGATCAGACCTGTAAGATGTTTTCTTCCGATCCCCCTTGTCGTTGGCATCACGAATCCTCACGGTTGGTCAAACTTGCAGAAATCCAGCTATCCCTCAGCAGAGCTGAATGGAGAAGCAGGGTTTTCCAACGACTCCTCACATGGCTCCAGTAAGATCTGACGCGGAGAGGGTTTGTGGATGACGTATACTTGTCAATAGAAACTTTCGGTAGCGAGAGAGCTCTGCATGCAAAGGAGCAGGTTGGCTGTCATGGAGTCTGGTTGTTAGACCTGACAAGAGGCTTCATAGGAGAAGATGAAACATTGGTTGAAGATTGCAGAGGTGTTTGTTGCTGCCCGTGGTTGCTGTTGTGTTCTGAGCCCTGCGGTGTGAAAACAGAAGAAGGGGCCAGTAGCCGACGATTCTGTTGACACTGAGATGGTGAAGAAGCTTGTCATCCAGCTGCTGGTTGTTGACGTTGATCCTGATTGAGGGGTTGTTGAGCTGAAGGTTGGCAGGCCGAGACTGAAGAGCTTCAGAGCTTCGTTGAGCTGCACAGTGACGTCATCATCGCCGATGACGGCAAGCTGTCCGATGACGAGGCAACAAGGTCTCGTTGCTCACAGGGTGCTGTGTTTGAGGACTAATGGTGGGAGCAGCGAGCAAGGCAAGCTGCTGCCGTCCGGTGCCGAGGACCGAAGCGCGGAGTTGGCGGAGCTGCAACAAGCGATCAGCAGGAAAGAGCAGATGGTGGCATGGCTGCGCTCCAAGGTAAGGGAGGGATGATGAGGGAGGAGTTTGGGAGCTGACTGACGATGGTAGATCATGAGATTCGCAGACCTGCTGAAGGACTTGAGGGATGACAGCATAACGAGTCTGAGGCAGAAGGACAAGCTCATAGCCGAGCTGCAGCTGGAACTCACGAACGCCGCGGAGAAGGGACAGGACGAGCACGGTCACGTTGAGCTGCGGCAGGATGTCGCAAGGAAGGAGCTATGCTCTCAAGAGACGCAGACTGGGACCGTTGGAGTGGAAGAGAAACAGACGGGGACAGGAGGGGAGGAGGAGGAGGACGTGAGGTTTTCGATCCTCAAGCCGGATGCTGTCGACAAGGACGCGACCATCTCTCAGCTCAACGATGAGATCAAGAAACTTCGGTGACTGCTCTTGCCCTTCCTCCTCCTCCTCCTCCTCCTCCTCCTCCTCCTCCTCCTCCTCCTCCTCCTCCTCCTCCTCCTCCTCCTCCTCCTCCTCCTCCTCCTCCTCCTCCTCCTCCTCCTCCTCCTCCTTCCTCAGGACTCTGACCGCTTTTGTGAAACCTCAGCGAGCTGGTTCTGTCGCAGAGCGATCAGATTTCTGTCTTGCAAGACGAGGTGGGCTTGTTGTCTTTCGTTGTCAAGAGCTCATGGCATGTCAAGGCCCTCGCGTACCTGAAGAAGAACGCGTCTGTCGTCAAGAGCGGTCCCCTCACGCTCTGTTAAGACTCAGCGGTTGATGGTGTGGCCTTGTAGACGTGTCGTCAAGGCTGCAGGTGGAGGAAGCGTGCTCGCGGCAGGTGGACAAGCTGGTGCAAGAGATTGCTGGTAAAGCGCGTCAAGTGAGATGGTCGACCGTTGAGAGTTTGCGGCAGCTGCTGGTCGGGAGCTGAGGGAAGTCAGCGTTGAGGTGAGAGCCTCTGACAGGAAGCAGCGGCATGGCTGAGGGAGAGGCAGGTGGAGATGGGGCTGGAGCACATGAGGGCGACGAGCGAAGAGGTGGAGGGACTGGGAATGAGGCAGGAGTGACGAGAATGGTCAGGATGAGGAGAGTTTGCTGCAGGAACGGCGGGCAAGGGACGCGCTAGAGGCGGGTGAGCTCGCCATCGACCTGCTGTGGTTGTCGCTGACGTGCTGCGTTGCCTTGCAGAGCTGGGGGTGCTGAGGGAGCGCGTGCAACGATATGAGGAAGAGCGGAAGGACGAGAGGGAGAAGGCGGGGGGAGAGGAGAAACGCGAGAAGAGAGAGTCGTACTTGAGCCTGAGCAACATGACAATGCCGGTGGAGGAGAAAACGCAAATGATCATCGAGCTGAAGGCCAAGGTGAGGAGGAGCAGGGGCAGGAGGAAGGAAGGAGGAGAGCGAAGGGAGGAGAGCGGGAGAGCGAGGGGAGGAGAGCGAAAGGGAGGAGGTTGAGAAGATCGGGAAGGAGTAGGGGAGGGAGGGGCATCAGTGGGAGGAGGCGAAGAGTGGGAGGGAGGAGGAAGAGTTGCTGGTCGTCTGCTGACATGCCAGCAGATCTCCCAGCTGTACAAGGAGCTGAAGGAAGGGGAGGAGAACATGCTGCTGCTCACCAAGAAGTACGACATGATGAAGGTAGGGAGACAAGGACAAGGGCAGGAAGGGATCAGGAGGGGGAGTAGGAGGGGGAGGAGGAAGAGGAGGAAGCGGAATAGACGAGGACGATAGAAGCATGGGGGAGGGAGCAGCGAGGAGAGAGGAGGCAGGAGGAGGAGAGGGAGAGGGCACATAGTCTGCGCATTTTGATCATCATCACAGAGGAACATGAAGACGTACAAGCTGGACGTGGCGGGCAAGATCGGGCAGCTCCGTGAGCAGCTGCAGGACAAGGTTCCTTGCTGGAGGGCTGGGCTGCCTCGTCTGATCGCGGAGCAGGAGGAGGAACTGCGGGAGCTGGAGAAGAAGAGTGGAAAGACTTCGCACAAGAACTGAGAGAGGAGGAGGAGGA